CCAGGAAGTTCTTTTCTGACCTCCAGGCGGCAGGCCAACCCGTTTGCATCTGCAACATTTGCCGGAAGCCTAGATTATGCCGGTTTTAAAGACCTCTCACTCAGTTTCTGCATCAGCGGTCAACGCCGGCCTGAACGCGCATCGTGATATCGACACTTGAGTAGAAGTGGTTCCACCCGCAGAGATTCAGAATTCCAGTAGGCTATGTGACTTGGTAATATGATATTAGCTATATTGCTTGAAAATATGGTTTAGAATCAAAAAGGTTGCAACTCGAGAGTGGTACATAAAAGTTGACGGAGATGAAGCGAAAGCTGACTCCTAGGAATAGTTCAGTGAAGTGCTGGAGTATAATTTCCTGAAGGCACATAATGTTTTCTGACAGACTCTCGGCAGCTCTAAGATGCAAAGAGCTGTAGCCCGAGGGTCCTAAAGGACAAAGCACCCTGGCCGTTTCCATATCCAGAAAAAGAATATACTATGCCGAATGCGGAAGTACTTCGGAGAGCTGCTTAAACCCAGTAAACCGTAGGAAATTTCGACTGAAGATCAGAAGGCAGCATTTATTAATTCGTCAGAAACTGCAAAAGGCTTCGAAAGTTGCAAGGCTAATGGAACAGATGAACTCCGTCCTGAAATGACTAAATCTTTAGGGAAACGATGAGTTTGTTTGCAAATCCATTATGTCAAACTGCAGCGGCTACGAGGAAGACATTAATGGATGGGAAACCGGGGGTTGACGTACCCCTGCTTGAAATGGGAGGGCACAAAAAAGTGCTCTAATCATTAACGCATCTCCACGTTGACCCTCCCAGGCATCGTCTAAATAAAAGTGTCAGAATAGAGATGCTGATCTGGAGTAAATGACTGCAAGATGCAAGAAGAGTAGAGAGGCATCAGATCAGATCGAAGTAACTCTGCCCAGATCCTTGCCTCACGCTAGATTTTTCAGAAATCCTGAGAGTTCACTCATGAGACTTGCGTGTGGCTTGTAAACCTGGAGAAAACTTATACTCGGATATGGTGCTAGAAACCGTGGGGTAGCCTACAAGCACATGGAACATATGACCACTTGCTATGAACTATCTAGCTACTATATGCTGATAGCAGCTGTTGCATCAGAGTAAATGGTATTAAGTTGAAGCCTTTCAGCGTTAGTACTGGTATCCACCAAGGCTGCGCTCTGTCGATTATGCTATTCGAGTAGATCAACGATGGAAATTGTAAGACACAGCGACGGTGACAATTGTATAAGCGTAGAAGACGAGAATTTTGCTGTTTGCAGATGAGATGTTTTGTTGGCGTCTTCTAAAACTGACCTCTAGCACATTCTGGGAGGGTTCACTGACGAGTGCAACGTGGTTGGAATGCATATAGATGTGTCCGAAATGAAACGTCCAATGCGCCCTCATTCTTCTTCCCGTCGCGCTCTGCAGGTAAAGGTAGAAGCAGTGGAAGAGGTAGAGAAATTTGCCACCGCGGGGTGGTATTTGATGGTGATGGAATATGGGAAGAAGAGATCCGTGGCGAAATGGAACGGTCATCGGCCCCGTTTCTTGAAAAAGCCTAAGTCGTTGTGACTAAAACAGATCTGAGTTTGAAAAATAAGCTCTCTACGTTCAAGTCGATCTTCATCTTTGTGCTTACCTACGGTTATGAGTCGTGGACCATGATTAAAAAACTTCGATCCCGGATATAAACAGCTGAAACAGACTTTCTGAGATTAATCGCTGGGCTCAGGAGTTCGAAATGCTTTGGAGTAGAGATATGCAACATCTGCCTCTTTAGATCGAGAAGTTACAACTATGATGGTGGTTGCACCTTTTGCCAATACTTTTGAAGATTGAGGCATAATAGCTAATTCTTATGTCCAGCTGACAAGCCAAAAGCCCATGGGGTAGCCAAAAATACCCAAGGGCAAGTACATCAAAGGACTCACCTTCGTAGACCCACGTCATCTTGTGCTGAAACTGAAATGCTGGCGTAAGATTGAGGGTGTTGGAGACACTCTCTGATGCGTCTGCCTCCGCGCGCCGATGAGATATGCGAATCGAAACAAAATGGCTGACGGATGTTCGTTATAGCGTTTTATATTGGCATAGAAGTTAAACACGAACTATTTCGTGCAGTGACTCTCATTATATTTGCATTTGCCAAATAGCATGAAAGGCGATGATATCATAGTAGGAAGCTGGTATGACAGATGTGGTGCAAAACGATTAGAAATTGAAGAATGAGTTTGAAGTTATAAACGAGAGTTTTACAAGATTATTTTCTAAATTGAGAGATCAAAAAGTTTTATACTCAGGCATAACATAGCTTATCTCACCTGTATTCAAATACTTTCCTTGGCCAGGTGTAGCAAAATCAATGAAGAAATTGTCCACGTTGACTCTTCCATTACGAGCCTCCCGTATAATTGATATACTATGCCATTGAGCGTCGTTCATAGGCTTGCTGCTTACCTGCAGACGAAGTGTTCCTGTTCCAAGGCTTATCGTGAAGAAAAGACGACCACCTATCAGTTCCACAGCAAGGAAGTCTGACCTGGAATCTTTTGCAGCATTGTACAGAATAAAGCCGTCTGGTTGATTGGTGCGAAACTGAAAACTGAGCGAGCCTGAGAGCGGGCTGTGCAGGCTGGGAAAGACAAGAAAACTGTTTGACGTGAAGAAACTGATCGGTTCAGATGACAGCGGTTCACGACAGGTGAAGTTTATATTTCCGTGTATCTTCACCATGCCTTTAGCATGTTTCGCCGATGCTAGAAAATCCAAATATCGTCCCTCTGTTCGATATACAACCTGAGAAACAAAAAATTGCAGTATTTAATGTGAGCTAAATGTACAGTCGTAGATCGTTGATTTGAATAAAGATTATAAATTTATAATGTTAAATAAATAGTTAAAGTAGGAGGGTTGGAGATCTGGCAAGTCTCCCTAAAATTTAGCCACATGCCACTCATCGTACTGTCTCCATCGAAAACTA